ACTATTCCCACCTCTCGTTCCCACCGCTGCAACTCCTGTGTAGCCAGGATCTACAGCTTGACCGCCAATAACCCAACCAGTGAAGGTCAAGTTTGTCCCGGGGGAAAGTTAAGCTGTCATTGGACCCGCAACGAAATTAATCAGAAGAACATAGGAGGAGTTCGAAATTAAGCTTCGACTTCACTGGATACGGTTACGGATAATAGAATAATATTATACCTGTTTCGGTTACGGCTACAGCTATATGAAATAATTTCGGACTATCCGAAAGTTTTGGATATTTTCGATTACGGATATCAGAATTTTAAAAGTGTAAAATTCAAATCCATAATAACACTTTGTGTATTACTAGCGGCCACCCGCGACTTCATATGCGTGGATGTCGTTTTACCCCCTTAGGAGTGGAGTTACGTAAAATCCTTTCTTAGCGGATGCCTACGTCAGAACATCTACGATCCGTCCAGTGGTTTGGGCTGTGCGTTGATAGATCACTATGTCAGTCAGTCACCTTGGAGTTATTACATATTTAGATGACGGCACCTATGATAATGGTAAAACAGGCGGGGATATCAGATTGTGCCAGGGAATGACAGACAAGTAACAAATATTAATAAACAGGTAGATTTAGACTCCGCCTTTATCCGAAACTTTTCAATGGGTTTTGGTTACAGTTACGGACATTTTTTTATTTCGGATATCCGATAGTTTCGGTTACGGTTACGGATATCCATAACATCCCTGATAATAAATTATGTTCGCGACGTGTACATTTGCGCAGCTGATATGGAATTTTGTGCGTCTACGAGTTGGGTTGGATGTAGGGTTGCCAGGTCCAAAAACACAAAAGCCGGACTCTGTGCTTCATTTGGCCGGACATTTTACCCTAAAAGCCGGAAATGTGACAATTAGTGTCAGCTCATGCATCATATCGGTTGCTAACCAACATCCTGATGCGTGCGCTCATATGATCTTGTGGTTCGACTTTTGCCTGGCGCGGCAACCAAATAAAAAGGCTAACAAAAGCCGGACAGGCCGGACAAGGCAATATTTGGCCGGACAAGTCCCTAAAAAGCCAAACATGTCCGGCTAAAGCCGGACGCCTGGCAACCCTAGCTGGATGGAATTTGCTTGGAAAATGGGCGTAATAAATTGTTTTGTGGACTACGTGCTCTGGCAGTTAAGTTATTAATAAAAAATATGACTTTAATAATTTTATCATTAAGTAAAACACAAATTATGCATTTTTGTTAAGTCAATCTAGAAATCTACCACAAAGTATTTTGGTGGATAGAAAATTCTCTATGTAAGGATAATAAAAACCCTTCTGTATCAATGAGAATAAGTCATGGTCAGTACAGTAACTTTCATCGGAAAATATTGTTATTCTACTAATCTCGTATACTCTATTTTTGTTTCTCTTCTGACAAATGTTTGCCTCGAAGTGCTGGTAGGACAAAAAATTAGACATGTAAAGGCTCCTTAAAAGCTTTTGACTATTCGTAAGTACTAATTGATTAAATCCAATACTCAATCGTTTATTGCATTTCAAGTAACAAGTGTAGTATAGTTTGTATCCAAGCAAATAAAGACATTTTTTATTTGATTTGATGACGCGAGCGACATCTTCCTGACGATTCGCACTTGCCTAGTTTTTTTAGACAGTTTAACTTTCCCCCAGGAAAAACTTGACCTTAACTGGTTGGGTTATTGGCGGTCAAGCTGTAGATCCTGGCTACACAGAAGTTGCAGCGGTGGGAACGAGAGGTGGGAATAGTCCCGTTTTTAACCAGATTTTTATAATAGAATCATTACCAATTTCACAACTTACCTTCTACAATAATCAAACAAACATTGTATCTCTAATTAGATTCATAGCAAACATTCATACTAAACCTCTCAGAATCACGTTCCCATTCATTTGTAACGAGTCGAACGCCCGTATTCACAAACATTACTATGAGGTCTCACAGTGCAGACGCACAGGGTGACACTCGAACCAATCACAGAGCTCTATTCAACGCTGTGCGTTCGATATGCTGCTTCACAAGCAAACATCGTTTGTCTATAGGCGAGAATCACGTTCCCATTGGGTTTGTAACGAGCCTATGACATTTAGGGTCCCTTAAACTTAAAGTAAAGACACCTACACACACGTCCGGTTGTCTGTCTGTTCACATGCGCATATATCACGCCTGTCATCGTAGGGAAGGGCCAAGATTCGGCGCTGGCGCATCGTAGGAATGGGCAGCGCTTTCTAGTTTTATCGATGTTTAATTCGGTTGTATTTCTTCAGCTTTATACGTAATTTTCAGGATAAACCACAAGAAAAGGAAAATCCTCGCTCCTTCGTAATACAATCGTCTTCTGTTCTGTCTTCTTCCAAAATCACGTCTTCCTTACTCACTCACTCAATCATTCCTTCTCACTCACTCCCTTGCGGTCCGTTCACACTCCCACATTTATATCGATGAAAATTGACTTTCGCCTCCAATCTAATCCATTTGCCAGAGGGCTTAGCTTTCACTCTCAGACGGGTTATATTAGTACCTACATTTTGTCCCAGTCGCAATACACAGATATTTTTATGTTAGATGACAATAATCTGGCTGGGTTACTGTTATATTATCATTATAATGTATACTTACTTACCATCAAAAAATAAGAAAAGCACACCTTCTCTAAAGACTATTTATTTAAACTCTGCTATAAACCCAATTAATAAAAGCTCTAATTTATTTAAATTCCAAACTCTGTATGTACTTAGAATTGGGAAATAGGAATTTTGCGCTATTACATTCGTAGTTTACACATCTGTGCATCATTTAGAAAAAAAATCCAAACATGACCGACTTACAATAACAATAGAAAAGTCAACAACAGAAAAATAAAACCAAATATGAATTTAGTCTCTAAGCACACTCATACAAAGCCGGAACACAAATCAACTGTTACAGGACGTGACAAATCCGCTACCGTATTTGACTAAGCAGAAACGAATGGTCCAAATAAAATCCTTTACGCTCCATTCAGTGGCATGCGCCCGTCGATATACGTTTTTATCGACACTAATCCCCTCACTAGAGGCGTGAGCACGTATGTATAATAAAAATCTTTCATTGTGGACCAGTTTGGGCCTATTATGATGTATCCTGTGTGGACATCGTGGACATTGGCCATAAGAGGGCTTGGATTTATAATGTAATCATTGGGAGAGTTCATTGAGGTTTTGGAAGTAGAAGGGTATTTAAAAGTGACGTAGTTTAGTGAAATAGGTATGTAGGTAGTTGTTTGGGAAAACTGAGAGACGTGTTTTCAAGCTTTTTAATAAATGTAAATATGAATGTTTGTGAACATGGACTTATATTTTTAAGCTTAAATTACTATACCGATTTAAATGAGATTTATTACAGAGATAGTTTTAGACCCAAGGGAAAACAGGGGATGGCTTTTATCTCGGTTTTTGAAAGGCGGATAAGCGCGCTATATAGTTGACTGGAGGAGAATGCCAATTAGAATTAAGTTCGTCTTATGTAACGAGGTTCATATGCATAAAAGTTTTAAATAAATAAATAAATATCTCCGAAATCCACGCGGGAAAACCGCGGCTGCGGAAAAGGTAGCTATTATTTTTGAAATTTGAGAAAACCTTGAGTATTTTGGTATTTTTTTTTCATACCTATCTATGAAAAAATACCTTACTATAAAAAAGTCATTTTAAACTTCCACATGTATAAAGAAAAGGTTTTGTAAAAAATGTATACTTAAAATTAATGAATTTGATGTTATACTTTCATACGATGTTATTTCATATTATTAGTAGTGACATGTGAATGTGATCCACTTAAAATGTAACTTATATCTAAAACTAGCTTATATACAGTGTTGCCACCACACAGAAAGCCTAGGTCGGGGTTACCAGGCCAGAAATTTAGCACAAATGTTAACTGTCACCACAGACTGTGGAATACAGGGTGTTTATTGCGGGGAGGCAATGTTAGAGGGGTTGGTTGCGAGTGGAATCTTTTGAGAAATTTTTTGGTATCCACAAATCTCAAAAAAATCTAAAAAGTTTTTGCTAAAAACAGTTTCTTTCACCTAAGTTTCACCTTTAAAAGAGGACATAATTGAAACGTTTTTTAACAAAATCTTTTTCCTTGCAACCTTTTTGAATCTTAATGAAAGAAAGAGGTTTTAAAACACTGGAATTATAAATAAAATCGAGGAACCCATCTAATGGAAAGAAGCATGAGGGCATTAATGTGCTATTCACCGGACGAAGGGACCGCCACACACTTGCGACTTGCGACTAATCGTCCTCAGACTTAGTCGTCAGTCGCAAGTCTGTGGCGGCATAGGTCAAGGCCAAGCTTATGGGGTTATTGAGACTCAAGCATCGGGTCGTAATTTTGTTATAATCCGACTATTTTAAACGCATTTTTTTCTTACTTTTTAACACAAAAATATATTTTCTTGGTTCCATATTACGAAGGATTTGTAATAACAATTTTTTTTTGTTAATACAAAATATTGATTCTGAAGTGAAAATTACCTTTTTAAGATCGAGTAAGCACTTGTTTGTTAGTTAATTTTTGGAAAAAAATGAGAATTTTACTATAAAATAACGTATAAAATAGTTCGGATATAGAGCCGCCATGTGCTGAGTTTTATTGTGTTTCTTGAGTATTTTATTCTTATTTACTTCATATTGCAACGTTAATGCCTTTACTAAAACCATTTTATTTTAGTAATTTTGACTTATTGGCTAAATAATGCAGCATTATCCGATTTTTACAACGAAAAAAATAGATTATTTTCTTCAAAAAATTTGAGCCGCTTTTCCTAATATTATTTTGGAATGCTTTAATTTAATGTGGTACTATTTAATTTTATTAAAAAAAAATAGATTTTCATTATGATTTTTAGAAACACATAAAATTCAGTCAACAAGACAGCCGGGAATCGAAGCGGGGACCACACCAGAGGATCCTGCCTCTACTCACAGCCGCTGTAGGTGTCTCAACCTCAAAAACAGACCGTCGGCTAACTGAGTCAGTCGGTTATTGTTCAGTTTCCTGAAATAATACACAGTGACAGTGATCTTGGGACACATTTAGAGGTTTTTGAATAAAAAAATTGAGAGATTTAAGAGTTAAGAAAAGGTTCACAGATTTTTTTATTCAAATGTATTTTCATTTCGCTCACAGGAATTGGAAATAAACAGTATTTTTTATCGCAATAAACTGAGAGAAATCACTATTGAAAATTTTTATTGTCATTAAAAATTAACCGTCTATTTCCAAAACCCAAATTAAAAAAGTTTTATATTTTTATTTTGATAATGTGTCTCAAAATGTACACCGATCTTCAATCTGAAAGTTTATCGTTAGAAGGACATACGAAGCTAATATGTAGCTAGTTCTAATTAAAATAAAACTTTTCAATATTTTACCATGTCATTCACAGTGCTGAAGTCAATTTATTAAAAATATTTACATATTTAGTTTTTCATTATGGAAATTTAATGAAAATAATATTATGATAATAACATTTTTATTATTGTCAAAGTCTCAGCAAAGTGAAAATAGTGTTGTAGTTAATTGAACAAGAAAAACTATCGGTAATTTTCAGATGAAGACTGTGAGAAAAACATGTAAATTATATGTAAATAGCTTACAAATGTACTTACAGTCTCTCCAAGCCGTTGAGCTCCAAAAAGGCGTCTCGTTCGATGGTATGGATTTGGTTCTCCGATAGTTGTCTGAAAAAGGTATGTTTTAATTAAAAAAATAAGTAAGTATTACACTAAAAACTAGAAACTATGAAACGGAGGATTGTTTTTAGTTATGTAGGTACGCAAGAAAAAACTTATTTACTTGTAGAAAAATATTTTTGTAATCTTTAAATATTTTTTATAATTTCTATGTATACCTAGGTACATTTATTTATTTAAAGTTTTAAACTTTTTTCACAAAATTAGATTAACATTTTTTTTTACTTTCTTCTTCTGTCTAAAAAAGCTTTTGCCCGCGGCTTCACCCGCGTGAAATTTCATTCGTCACATATCGTTATAAATTTTAACCTATATGTTATTCTGGGTTATAAACAATAATACTATAAAGTTTCATTAAAATCCGTTCAGTACTTTTTGCGTGAAAGAGTAATAAACATCCAGACATCCAAACTATATTTATAATTTTAAGTAGTATTAAAAAAATAACTTACAATATCTTCAAATCTTTCATGTTCTGGAAGTCGCTCTGGAAAATGATGGTGATGTTGTTCCCTTGCAGGTCTCTGAAACAAGCGAAAAAGGTTTATTATTAATAATAAAAACAAATAATAATTTACTAAATCAGCTGTTCAGAATAAAACAGCGCGGACGAAATTAAACAGTCTGTGTAAAATTATTTCAAGTCACTTAAAAAATGCACACGTAAGTATTAGCTTATTTTTTTTATGTGTATTTGGAATTATACTGGCAGAAATCATGGAGAAATGATTCGCAGATTAAGGCCCTCGTTAAACCAAGGCGGAACGGAGAACTGATTTAAATAATCAATCAGATTTCATTATTTCCATTTTTATTCTCCGCTCCGCGCTAGCCCCAACCGCTGTCAAATTCTATAGAAAAATTCGTCCGCCTTGGTGGAAACGGGTAAACAACCCTAAACTCTGAAATCTAAATTTCACGAAATCTTTCACCAAAAGGTAAAATAAATAATGTTATAAATAAAAGCATTATTATTAATTATTTCTTTTTGAATGTTGTTTATAACGAAACGTAACGCAACTCTACTTTTTTCATAATTTTTATTTGCATTAATATTTGCATCTCACAATTTTTTCGTGCACGAATGTGATCCGAATATTATGTACTTTCAAAAATATGTCCCCAGTGGTATATGGTAAGTAATATTGTCACTTACTAACGTACGTGATAGTGCCATATTCGTCACTAAGTAACACTAACATTTACTTAACGGCGCCACTTAACCGGCACTTAGAAGCACTCAGTCACCAGCACTTAAGTGTTAAATTAAGTGTGCTAAGATCACTAAGTTAGTGTGTAGAAGGTCTGTGGGAAATTGTATAGTAAAAGCTAGGTTTGGAATAATTAGCTATTTTCGCGCACGACTGCAGCTAAAGATGTGAATTGGTATTATACTCTGGCCAAATACTTTTTGAATAAAGACCCGTTCTCACGGCAATCCAATTTTGCTCCTGCAAAATGCATTATCACACATGCTGGACTGTCGTGTGAACATAAGTGTGTTTGAAATTCGAGTGCAAAATTCGAATGAATCGTTTTTTTGCGGGACCTGCAAACATGATGTTCGTGTAAACGGGATCCTGCAAAAAAACGGGATGTCACCATGGTCAGAGTTTCTTGCGCTGCTTCTTCTCAGCACTAGCCCATTCATTGTCCTGAAGCAGTAGTGGTAGGGTTAATACTGGAACGTGTAAAAGTGCTTTTTAAAAGCTTATTTGCAAAAATAAATGAATTTTATGAGGTTTTCTAAAAGCCCTAGAAGTCTGCGGGGTCTAACTCGAGAGAACCCTGCTGCCAGAACTAAGAACTTTTTACCCAGTAGAATCTAAATTTATAGTATAACCACAGAATAAATAATAGTAGGTATAACTCAAAGGTGACTGACTGACTGACAAGTGATCTATCAACGCACAGCCTAAACCACTGGACGGATCGGGCGGAAATTTGGCATGCAGGTAGATGTTATGACGTAGGCATCCGCTAAGAAAGGCTTTTACGAAACTCCACGCCTAAGGGGGTAAAACGTGATCCACGCGTACGAAGTCGCGGGCTGCCGTTAGTACCAATATAATAGGGTACATCCCATAGTTTTAAGCACCGAAAAACGCCATGGGAAATTACCCACTTATGATGGATTTTCGTACGAAAACTCCTTCGTTATTACGACTTTAATCATAAAGTTTCGCGCGGAAAAATGTTGCCAGCTAAATATAACCTCTTTCTACAGGGTAATAAACTTTTTACTGCCTCTCCGAGTGGATAATAAACCTGCCTTTAGTTCATCGATTAAACATTACATACACTTACGTCTGACATAAAATTGCGATGTTTTCGCCGATAGAATTTTGTAAATAAGATATGAGAAAAAAATAAAAATCCTGCTTTTTTTATGTTACACACTTTTTGCAGCCACTTTTTTTTGTATTACAAATTAATACATTTTTGACTTAGATTTTGTGGTATTAAGCCGAAAATTTAGTTAATGACTGTTACTTTACTTACTGCTAAATTAGTTAGACCATAGTACTTTAAAGTTAAATTAATAATAAATTAATAAATTCCACAATGCACGGTCCTGCGCTGCCCGCATCCAGGCTCTTCCCGCGACCTTTACCAGATCGTCGGTCCACCTAGTAGGAGGCCTACCCACGCTACGTCTTCCAGCCCGTGGTCGCCACTCGAGAACTTTGCTGCCCCAACGGCCATCGTCTCTACGAGCTATGTGCCCCGCCCACTGCCACTTGGAGGAGGCCTTTGTCCAGCAGTGGACGTCATTTGGCTGAAACGAACGAACGAACGAAATAAATTTACGCAACCGACGCACCGTAGATGTTAGTTAAAAACAAAATTTCCATCTACCTTCAAGGAATGTCACTTGACTCGATCAAGACCCGCCGCGCCGAAAAAACGTAACAAAAATATATCATTCGAATTATGAGCAATCAAACGAATTAGAGACGATCACGAGCGATTGTGTGGAATCGGATGAAACCCGATGAGTGCGCTAGTGATGTGCGTGGAAGTGTCGATCGTTATCGACGTCGAAGTTTTTAACACTTTTTAACCGCAGCGGGAAAACTTTAGCATGCAGTCCGCATGGGTAATTTAAGCTGATGGAAAGTGATGATTAGGCCGAAGGTGGAAGGGAACTTCACTCGGAATTCTTCACTATGAGGGATGTTACTTCTTATCAGCACATTATCCCGAAGCTATTTGTGGCTAAATTATTACTTGGAGACATAAAATTGTTTTTTAATATTATATTTTATAATTATCGCAATAATTAATTAATTAAAATGAAAAATAATTATTTACCTTTAAAAGAAATATTTACAAGTAATCAGTAATTTTTCATGTCATTTTTTAGAACTATCCAATTTAGTTTGAGTAAAAGTGTGTGTTATTCTAAATAACAAAACAATTGGCGTCTTTATTTGTGTTAAACTATAAAGTACTTTCGCTTCTAAAGTTCTAAAATACATTCGCCACTTCAGCTTTATTTCAACAAGCCACAATTATAGATACAATCTATCCTTTCACTTTCAAACGTTTGATCCAATAATTACTGTCGATTGCATCCCGCTAGGGTTGCCAGTTCCAAAAACACAAAAGCCGGCTCGGTGCTTCATTTGGCCGGACATTTTACCGTAAAAGCCGGACACGCATTTTTTACCATGCCACGGGGGCCTAATACGCTTCGTCCTAATACGCGCATGTGTGCTTTCGACTGGCGCGGCAGCCACATAAAAAGCCTAACAAGAGCCGGACAGGCCGGAAAAGACAATTTTTGGCCGGACAAGTCCCTAAAAAGCCAAACATGTCCTGACACCTGGCAACCCTAATCCCGATTCCGACCAATTTATCGACACTACTACTTATATCCAATTATCGATACAATCTATCGACTATGCCCCTTCACTACACGACGCCATATTGCAACTGTTTGTAATCCTCTAATTACACCAATCAAAGACTCCATTAAACAAGCTCTGTGATTAGTTCGATTGACTTGACTAATTAGGTAATTATAATTCATTTGGGAACGATAAGGAAGACTTTTATTTAGAGGTTGTTCCCACAGTTTTACGGGATCTCATATTATGCAGAATCACGCAAAACTGGACTGTCACGTGTCAAATCNGCCCCAGTTGTCTGAAGCCGATCCAGCTAACGAAACCCCCGATATGCTGTGGGACCGTGCTAAAGCACTCATCACTACAACTGTATCGGAAGCCGCACCAAAAATTAAGACCTCCAAAAGACAGCACTGGATGACGGATGACACCTTCAAACTCGTCGAGAAACGCCGCAAAATGAAATCAATGGGAGTTGATATCGGGAATCTCAACAAAATGACCGCACAGATACAACTTAAATGCAGGCAAGACCATAATGCCTACCTACACAATATTTGCAATGAAATTGAAACGCACGCTGGCAGGTATGAGTCAACAGACTTGTATCAGAAGATCCGCCTCATTACAAAAACACTACCGTCTAAAACCTGGACTATCGAGGATCATAACGGCCAAGTATTCACTGAACTAGACAAAATTTCGAGAGTCTGGAGAGATTATTGTCAGTCCCTGTTTCAGGACCCGCAGTCGCGAGATTTTGCAGCTATGACACCCGCGAGTGACATGCTTGAGCCTGATATCCTCGAGTCAGAAATAAGAGCTGCTATTCGACATCTTAAAAATGGGAAAGCGACAGGGAAGGATCAGATCCCAATTGAAACCATCCGAGCACTAGGCGAGCGTGGCGTTCATATATTTCACACCATTTGCAACAAGATATGACTCACGGGCAAATGGCCCTCTGAATGGTGTCACACAGTATTTGTGCCCCTCCATAAAAAAGGTTCCACGAAGAAGTGTGGCAACTTTCGGCTTATTGCCCTAATAACGCACGCTAGCAAAATAATGCTGCATATCATAAACGAGCGACTGAAGGCATATTTGTCCAGAGAAATTGCGCCAGAACAGGCCGGTTTCGTTAAAGGTAAAGGAACCCGTGAACAAATCCTCATCGTACGTCAAATTATAGAGAAGGCTCGAGAGTTCAATAAGCGGACATATATATGCTTTGTTGATTTCTCTAAAGCATTCGACTCTGTAAAATGGCCAACTTTATGGAGAACTCTACTGGAAATGGGAACCCCGCAACACCTCGTACACTTGCTCAGAGAACTCTACGAAGGGGGAATAGCTTCAGTGCGGACGGATGACCAAAGTCAAAGTCAAAAGTCAAAGTCAAAAATGAGGAAGTTATGGAGGAATCGCAACATTACCAAAGCCACCAAAGTTAGACTTGTGCGAGCGCTTGTATTCCCCATCTTTCTTTACGCAGCAGAGACATGGACAGTACGCGACTTGGAAAAGAGGAAGATAGATGCCCTAGAGATGTGGTGCTGGAGAAAGATGCTCGGGATATCATGGACAGAGTTCCGTACCAATGTGTCCATACTCCAGGAGCTCGGTGTCACTCAGCGTTTATCAACCGTAGTACAGTCGCGCATACTGCAATACTTCGGACATGTCTCGAGGCGGGATGACAACTCCATAGAACGACTGGTCGTCCAGGGCAAAGTCGAAGGAACCCGATCGCGTGGCAGGTCACCAATGCGCTGGACTGACCAAGTGAAAGCAGCAGTAGGAGACGACTTATGTGACTGCACCAGAAAGTCTGCCAATAGAGAGAGATGGAGGGAGATCGTGCGGAGAGTTGTATCCGCCTCTACAACCGATGTGAACAACGCCTCAACGTGACCACGACCGCTCTGCCAAGAGCGTAACGACTAAGAAGAACATAAAATGTAGTTCATTAGGTAACTGTTATTGTTTCATTTTAATGAAATGTAAATTTAATTCACATAATTTTACGTAACAATAAATAGCAACAAAATAATACTAAAATGATTGCGGGCTGAGTGGGCCGCAGAAACAATTGGCTTAATAACATCGAATTCTTTGTCCATTATTGATAATAAAAGTTCATTTCATTGGCTATGTTTATTCCATTTCCAATAATGCTCTTTTGATGCGACTTTATTGGGATAAATATCACAATCAGTGACAAGCAGCTCAGGGTTTATAGCTTTAATTCACTTATATTGAAAACTGATATTGGTATTTTAATTTTGATAGTCTTTAATATCAAGCCGTGTGGTGACGGCAGAGTAGAATACATTTATCACCAACCCCTACTCTTCCCGCGGGTGTCGTAAGAGGCGACTTAGGGACTACACATCAAACAGAGAATGGGCAGCAGCGTTCTCTGAAAAACATCAATCTTTTAAACTGCGATCTCCAACCCGCCTGCCAAGCGTGGAGATTATGGCAAAACCCTCCACTATAGTGGAGGAGGCTCGTAGTCCAGCAGTGGACTGTAAAGGGCTGTTGATGAATATCAATGTTATTCTGAGTTTTTTATTAATTTGGTCAGTTTGCACCAAATTAATAAAAAACTCAGTTT